GCTGCCCCTGGCCTGTTGGTGGGCTGAGGGAGAGGGCGAGACCCGGAGAGGCAGCCTGCCAGGGTCACAGGTAAAAAGCAGTGCTTGTGGATGTGATGTGGCTGTGCCTTGGCACGCATGGCGGTGTTTCAGAGCACGTACCAAAGCTAGCATTAGCTGGCGTGTAACAGGTGGGCCAGACTTCGATCTAGTAGTGAGATGGAGAGTGCACTTTCTAAGTGCTACAGCCTGTGCAAGAGTTAGTGCTAATACTAGGTACCAGGTGACCTGAACCCAAACTGGCTCATGCAGTAGGTGTTGGCCCTGTACTCCTGCATTACTGGAATACAGTGCAGGGACTTAGTCCAGTCTGGAAGCAGTTTTGCTCCTCTGAATAATCCTTATCACATTGGATACGCTAGTACTCAGGCAGGTAAATGGGTTCATGTTGCCCTATGATACAATCTTCTGTCTCTCACTTGCCAGCTTGTTACAGTAACTTGGAGTGGCAAGCATCATGTAGGGCTGATCCGTGGTGCCTGCTTAGCTAGCTAGTAATCCCCTTAACCTTAAAGTGCTTTAGGTCTAGTATTGGGGGTGATTTAGTGATTTTTGAATATAGGACCTGTTGGACTGAGAAGGCTTTAACTGGGCAGTTCCACACTAAGTCCCAACAACATATGGAAGCTCAAAGTTTTTGTTTTCCTGCACCAGGGCCCAGTTAATAGGGGGATGACTGGAGTCAGTTGTGGTCAGCCATTATCTGTAACATACCAAACATGAAGTCATGATACAGTATCCAGATGTGTGAAGAACCTATACTAGAGGGCATTTCTGTACAACTCATCTTGATCACTGAAACAGTGACTGGTACTGTCTTCCATTAAACAGAGGTTAAACTTGAATGCTAATCATCAACTACTCTAATATGAACTCTGTGGAACTTCAATGCCTGTGTTGTGCCTGACTTTAGGAATCGGATGGCATTAAACTTCTAGTATATCATGTGCTTAGGTTCTCCAGGAGCTTGGAGTATTAAAAAGGGAGCATCTCTTAAACCAGGAGGCTTAAAGACCAGTCCTGCAGGTTCTTTCTGCATGTGATCTCTGAAGTTTGGTCTGTTTAGTCTCCCTCTTTCTTATCTTTCACATAGAGGCACGAGTTAACTTTGTTTTGTGACCTTCAGCAAACAGTTTGTATTAATGCTGTATGGTCTGTATAAGCTCAGAGCTAATGGCTTAATTCATAATCACTTCTAGTACACAAAGCTGATCTTCCAGGAGGCCTGGATGAGGTACAGTGTCTGCCTCTTGGAATATTCACAGGTGCTGAAAACAGATGTTATTGCTATATTTGTAAGCAACTACTCTTGCTGTCCTTGAGTGTTTGAGCAATGCTACTGTGTATGACAACAGCCAAGCACTTTCAGATTGGGAATTGAAAATATTTCTGTGCTTATCAAACTTGTTTTAAAGTTGATGCCTATTTTGGAAGGAGAAAGCATTGTATTGTGAACACACAGTGATAGGGCTGAGTAATCTGCTTGGGGGGGGGGGGGGAGGGGGAAGGCTGATTGAAAAAGAGCGGCCTACTA